ATTAAAAATTAATATTTGTAAATAAAAATAGATATTTTTATTTAACAATTTATAAAATTAACATTTTAAAATAAAAAAAATAAAATTAACATTTTTTTACTTGCATCTTTTCTCCAACGAGCCTTAACATCTTATTTACTATTTAGGGATGGCAATTTCTTTTGATCCCCGCAAGGCTCCGTGAGGATCCCTGTCATGGGAACGGGACGGGGAGGAATATTCCTCCTTGCAAGGCAGGAATGGGGAGCATTTTCTCCTTGTGAAATTTCGCAGGAAATTTTTTCTGCCCTACAAGGTCTCGTGGGGATCCTCGCCCTCGAAAAAATTAAAACAAATATAAATTAATTTTATTTATTATTTTTTTTGGTAATAATTTAATTTAATTTTAAATTTAATTTACCTTTCAAACCCAAACTCAAATTCAAACTCAATTCAATCAAAATTAAACTTAACCCAATTTTACCCAATCCATAAAAATTAACCCAATCCACCCCTTCATACATTTAATCCTAACCCTAATTCATTTCTCAATTTTCATTTTCACCTTTCCTGACTTTCCCTCTCCTTCTATTGTGCGACTCTACCATCTGAATGCCCTCCATTCCATTACCACCCTTCTACGATTCTACCCTTACCCTTCCCAATGCTTATCTTTTGCCGCCCCTTGTTTTCTCCTTTGCACCGGTGGGACCATCTCAAATCCCATTCCCTCCACTACACTATTGGTCTGCTACTGCCAAACTACCGAAGCCATCTACTTGCTATTGCCAAATTGTCGAAGCCATCTACTTGCTGCTATCTAGACTATCAAAGCCATATGTGGTTCTGTTGCGGCCTTGCCCTTCTTGGTACTGATTTTCTTTATTTTCAAAATACTGATTTTTTTTTTATGATGGTTTAATTATTTTATTTATATTGGATTAATTTTTACTTATGTTTTAGTTTAGCTTGGATTAATCTTTGTTTATGTTTGGAATAAATTTGTTAATTGTTGGTTTAGTTATTTATGTTAAATTAATTTTTATTTATACTTAGACAATTTATATTTGACTTTATAGTTACAAATTTTAGTTAATTGTATTTGAATTTTTAGAATTTTATTCATTATAAGTGAATATTAATTAATTATATGTAAAAGATGAAAAAATTTATAATTTAATATTAATTGATCAAGAATGGGAATGGAGGCAAAATCTGTCTTTTGTCAAAAATTCTCGCGGGGATCTCCGTCTTTACCATTTGCGGAGATAAAAACAGTGACAGGGACAGAGACAGGGAAGAACTCCCTGACCCTGCACGGCCCGTTGACATCCTTAATCTTATCAAGTAGTTTACTTTTCCAACTCCAAATGGGTTGGTTACTTGAGGTTGAAGAGAAGTTATTCTTTTGGGCTTTGGATCAGTAATGGGCCTAAGGGAAGATCAATGGGCTTCCCAAGACTGAAAATCTGGAATCTTGATGTGGA